ACCCCACCTGCCCCACCCTGCCCCGGCCTGGCAGCACCTACCCTAGCCCCTGCCCCAGTCCTACTCCCTCCCTCACCACAGGGACCTGAATCTGCACCCCCATGCCCCTTTCCTCCCCCTCCCCTTCCACCACAGCAGACTTACCAGCTCTCCACACTGCATCAGAAATCAGATCGGTATTGGCCAATGTGCCTCCTTAAAGGTCAGCTATCAGTATCAGTCCCCAAAATCTCTATCGATGCATCCCTACTGCTTAGTTATGCTAAGGATACAGCCATACTGGACTGAATATACCAGATTTCCTCTGATCTTGGAAGATAAACAGTTGGAAGCTTGGAATCCTGGCTAGTATTGGCTGGAAGAACTCCTTGGACTCTAGGGCTCTGTAGAGACAAGCCAAAGTTGTGGCTGAACAGTCGGCAAATACCTAATGAGTGGCAAGATTTCATTTGGCCCTTTTATCTCTACTGAGCTAATGGGCCTGAATAAAAGGAAGGGTTTGGGCTAAGACTTTAACTGTACTTCCCCAAAGCCTCTGAGACAGGCACAAAAGAACCAAAATGTTAAAGAACTTTTGAACCTTGATAGTGTGAAAAACGTTAAATATGTTAGGTAGGTGAGGATGTTTAACATTGGGATTCATGGCACCATCCATTGTAGAGAGCCATACATAATACTAAGTTGAGATAAGGAATCCCTCCTGCTTAGGGACTGAGCTCTACTCTTCTCCCAGCTTCCCCCCTCACCCCTCTACCCATCTCTTCTGTTTCTGTATTCAAATTTCTCTTTCATTCTTATACACGGTTTTATGCATGTCCTTTCACAGCATCTGTTGAAGTGAGCTTCAGCTTATAAAAGCTTGTGCTATAGATCTACTTTGGTAGATATATCGCACAGGCTATACTTAGTCTATAATGGGCAAGCAAAGTCTGGCCTGTGGTCCTGATCTGGCCTATGGTGCATTCCATTTCCCAGCAGACCCTGTCCCCATCACTGCGGTCAGTTTCCATGGAGACCCCAGTTTCCATGGAGACCCCAGGAGTAGCCAGTGCTGTGACAGTATGGCACCAGGGTTTCCATGAAGACTGGCCCCAGCAGTGCTGACAGGGCGCGTGGCTGGGCAGGCAGCTGCTCCAGGGCTGGGAACTTGTGGCAGTAAGTGTAGTCTGGCGCCAGGTCAGAGCTGCAATCCACTGCCCACATGCCTCAGGCAGGGATGTGCAGGCAGCAGATTGTGGCTCTGACCCGGCTCCGGACCACTGTCACCACTGCAAGATCCCAGCTCTGGCCCCAGAGCAGCTCCCTGCTGAGCCCTTGCCCTGCCAGTGTGGTCTGCATGCAGATCCTGGCCTTGCACTGTTACAGCACTGCCACTCCTGGGGACTCCATGGAAACCTGCTGCAGCAATATGGGCAGGGGCTGCTGGGACATGGAGTCTGGCCACTGGCCGGATCTGCCATTTTGCCCACCCCAGTCTATAAGGTGCAAATCTACCCTGCCTTCCACCAACCTTTTTCTCAGAGAGTTAAACTGCATCTAACTAATGCCTTCCAAGTAACACTGAAGAAATTATTTGGACTGGTTCTCAAGAGCCAGAAAATAAAAGGAAGTTTCCTGAAAATTCGGACCTTCTTTGTACCAAAACTACAATTTGGATCCTCAACTCACTTGAGGTACTAAGTGAATATGCTTAGAGTGACACTGCTGTGCTTATGACTCCAAGGAGAAATGTAGAGAGAATTGCTGTCTTTGACAAAGTGATGGATTATTAGATCTGTTCTAATGAAGGCCATTTTGCATTGTCTGAACAGTCTTCTCACCATCTAATATACAATTTGACAAAGGAGTGCTTAATAGACATTCAGATAAATACCTGTCTGTTAACCAGTTGGCACCCAGCTAAATTCACTCCCTCAGTCTCAGAAGGAATCACAATGGTCAAAAGTGGTGTAAAAATGAAAAGAAGAAAGCAGTAACAACCACTCAAACACTGGGCTCCTGTTTGACCTTCATATACACAAAGGATACAAGTGAGACTGGTCAGTAACCCAAGGTCCCTGTAAGGATTGTAAGGGGAAGTGCAGTTTACCACTTAGCACTGGACTTCTATGTCCTGAATACCAGCATTTTGATGCTATCTGTTTTACATAGGATGCACAGGTTCAGCAAAGAAAAAGGAGATCAAAAGGGTAGAGGGAAATGAAACATGTACAGTAGATGCTTCCCTTATGGCTTTACCTAATACATACATACATACACACACACATTAAATGTGAGAGACTGTCCTAAGATACTCAGTCTACATATCCAAGAGAAGGTCAAGAAGTGACTTTTTTCAGTCTGCACACATCTCCCTGAAGAAAATATTTCTAATAGTAACAGGCTCTTTAATTTTTCAGATGAAGTCATAACCGAATGGAGTGGCTGGAAGCTGATGGTCAGTTCAAGCTAAAAATAGTGTGTAAGGGTTAACAGTTAGGGTACCTAGCCACTGGAATGATACACCAAGGGTTAGCGTGGATCCTCTCTCTCATGACATCTTTAAATCAAGTTTGCACAGATCATTCTAAACACATGTATGTTCGGTGAACCCCATGAAATGGATTTGCTGCCAGAACTGCTGGATGGGATTCTCTGTTCTGAGTTGTGCAAGGGGTCAAATTAGATGCTCACAAGCATCCTTTTCTGACCTTATAGGTACCCCAGTGCTTGTAGGTTGGTGCTGTGCACACAACTCTTGATAGGTAATTGATTTGTGCATATTTAGAGAAACTTAAAACCTAAGCTAGATCTGCAAGAAGTGTGTGTTTAATTTTCCAATAACACAGTACATAATGTGTGGCCTCAATTGCTCCACCCCCAGATACATACCTTTAAACCATGTCCCTTCCTCCCCCCCCCCCCCAAAAAAGGCAACTGTGAGCGGAAAGGTTACAGAGGAATGTTTTATTGTTTTTCAGGTAAGAATACACATTCTCACTTTAGCTAAGGAGCAAGACAGGAAACAAATGGATACAAAATTACTAAGTGAAGGTTGGCAGTGGACTCCAGATATGGTACAGCATCATCACTTAGGTAAAAGCAAAATGGGGAGAGCCACAGCACACCTGAGCCCTGGACAGCAGCAGTCCCAGCAGATGTATTGCAACCCTGGTCCCTTCTTATAGTAGGTGGAAATCTCAAGAGGTGACAAAAGTGCTTTGCATGACTTGACAAGCTGCTACCTTGGTCACTGAGGTTTCCAGTGGGGCTGAAGAGGTTTCCTTAGAAGATGGGACTTCTTATGGCTCAAGAGGCGCATGTTGGACTCCCCATCCAGAAACAAACAAAGCAAAAATCCCTGGAAACTAAGCGAGTGTGTCTACATGTGAAATTAAGGCATAGCAGTAAATTCTGGAGCTGGTGAGCCAGAGTAAACTGCTCTTGGGCACAGCATCTACACATGCATCCAGGACCACAGCAATTTGAGCTGGGGCAGAGCAGGCTTGGGCTGGCAGGGGCACAGGGGGGTCAGCCCTAAGTTCTGGGTGGTGGAGGAGCTGGCTGGGGCACAAGGGTGCTGACCCTGGAAAGCCATGTGGCTAGGCAGTACACAGGAGTCAGACCCCCGCGTAGTCACCATCTACACGTGAGTTTCAGTGCAGTTAATTACTCTACCATAAGATTGACAGTATTATCTTATGAGGGAGTTAATTAAGTTTACTGCATCCTAATACCAGCACACATTTAGCTGATGACACTTCACTGCAGAGCTAAATAGTCTACTCCGCAGTAAAGCACATATGTAGATGCACCCAGTGATCTTTTTCAATACTTTGACAGCAGAGCATAGCAGATCTGAACCCACTAGACAGGTCAAGTGTTCACCCAGCTCAGTTCATGGATGTATTAGCATAGAACTTAATTCTAAATGCCACTTTGGGGACTCTAGTAAGAACTGTAAAAAGTGGATGAAAAACTAACTTGTATAGGCAAAAAGCTACCCAATGGATTTGGGGGGAGCTAGGACAGCTCAAGGTGGAGCATTGCCTTTTCTGTGCAGGAGGGGGACAGAAAGCATCACAGAGATCAGCATCAGGAGGTGGGTCAGGCAGCGGGGAGATGGTTTAGTTCCACCTGACTCAGGTACCCAACGCACTCTGTGACTCACTGAATCTCCTTTCTCTCCATCAAGCATTATTTAAGTAATAAGTGATATTAAGAGGATGTTATGGTGACATAGCCACACACCCAGAAGTTATTCACACAACCCTACCTCTGTGTCCTTAGCTACACGCATTATGACATGACCTTTAATTTCAAGATTA